CTAGCATGAGTCCATGTGCCGTACCAGCACTACTAGTCCCAAAGAAGAACGGAAAGTGGCGCATGTGTGTGGACGGTAGGGCTATTAATAAAATCACCGTGAAGTATCGATTTCCTATCCCACGCCTGAAAGACATGCTAACATGTTATCTGGATCAAAATTGTTCTCAAAGATAGATCTCAAGAGTGGTTATCATCAGATTCGGATTAGAGAAAGAGATGAGTGGAAGACTGCATTCAAGACAAAAGAAGACCTGTATGAGTGGTTAGTAATGTCTTTTGGCCTTTCTAATGCTCCCAGCACTTTTATACGTTTGATGAATCAGGTATTAAAACTCTTTATCGATAAGTTTGTTGTAGTTTACTTTGATGATATCCTGATTTATAGCCAGAGTGGGACTGCATATCTGGACCACTTGAGGGAGGTACTAACAGTTTTGCAGACGAACAAGTTGTACATCAATCTAAAGAAATGTAACTTCATGACCAGTAACCTTGTATTCCTAGGCTTTGTTGTTAGCGCAGAGGGCATCCATGTTGATGAAGAGAAGGTCCGTGCTATTCGAGATTGGCCTACACCGAAGACAGTAAGCGAAGTTCGTAGTTTTCATGACCTAGCAACATTCTACAGAAGATTTGTCAGAAACTTCAGCAGTATTGTAGCTCCTATCACTGAGTGCATGAAGAAAGGCAAATTCAATTAGGGGACGATGCGGATCGTAGCTTTGCACTGATCAAAGAGAAATTATCCACCACACCAGTACTTGCACTTCCAGATTTTTAAAAGATCTTTGAAGTTGATTGTGATGCGTCCATCATAGGAATTGGTGGTGTTTTATCTCAGGAAGGGCGTCCAGTTACTTTTTATAGTGAGAAACTCAGCGAAGCTTGGCAGAAGTGGAGCACATATGAGCTGGAGTTATATGTCATAGTTCAGTCTTTAAAGCAATAGGAGCACTATTTGATCTCGAGAGAGTTTCTGCTTCACACTGATCATCAGGCTTTGAAAACCCTTAATAGTCAGACTATCATCAACCGTATGCATGCTCGTTGGATCGCATATCTGCAACGTTTCACCTTTGTTTTGAAGCATAAATCCAGACAGCAGAATAATGTTACAGATGCACTCAGTAGGAGAGCTGGATTGTTGGTAACTTTGAAGGCTGAAGTGATTGGGTTTGAGTAGGAGAGCTGGATTGTTGGTAACTTTGAAGGCTGAAGTGATTGGGTTTGAGTACCTTAAGGAGCTGTATGCAGAGGATGAAGGCTGAAGTGATTGGGTTTGAGTACCTTAAGGAGCTGTATGCAGAGGATGAAGATTTTAAGAAGATTTGTAACGACTACCTTCAAAATAAATCAGTCAAAGACTTTCATATTCATGGTGGTTACCTATTTTATGGCGATCAATTGTGCATACCTCAGAGTTCACTAAGAGAGCAGATAATTCGAGACCTTCATGCTGGCGGACTAGGAGGACACTTGGGACGTGATAAAACAATTACAGCCATTGAAGAACTATATTACTGGCCTCAGTTGAAGAAGAGAGCAGAAAAATATGTACGACGTTGTCCAGTTTGTCAAGTTACTAAGGGACAGTCTCAGAATACAGGATTGTATACACCTTTACCTGTTCCTGATGCACCATGACATGATATCTCTATGGAGTTTGTGTTGGGACTGCCTTGAACCCAACGAGGCATGGATTCTGTTTTTGTTATGGTTGACAGGTTTTCGAAGATGACGCACTTTATTCCGTGCAAGAAGACTGCAGATGCGAGCAACATTGCCAATCTTTTCTTTCGGGAGATAGTTCGTCTTTATGGAGTGTCGAAGTCCATTACATCCGATCGAGATTCTAAGTTCTTATCTTACTTTTGAAGAACTTTGTGGCATCAATTCAATACTTCTCTTAAGTTTAGTACTGCCTATCACCCTCAAACAGATGGCCAAACTGAAGTGGTCAATCACACCCTCGGCAATCTTCTTTGATCCATCTCTGGAGATCGACTAAAACAGTGGGATCTTGCTTTGGCACATGCTGAGTTTGCTTATAACTGTATGAAGAGTCGAACTACAGGCAAGGTACCCTTTGTGATTGTGTATGAAAGGCTTCCGAATCATTATCTCGACCTTGCTTCATTACCTAAGCTTCCTGGACAGAGTGTTCCTGCAGATCATATGGTTGAAAATATACGGGCTATCCAACAGGAAGTAAAGAAGAAGATAGAACAGTCTAATGCTAAATATAAGAATGATGCTGATCGACACAGGAGGCAGAAGGTGTTTGAAAAGGGAGACATGGTGATGGTGTTTCTGTGAAAAGAACGTTTTCCAGTGGGCACCTACAACAAGCTGAAGAATAAGAAGTATGGTCCATGCAAAATACTAAAGAAGATTAGCGACAATGCTTATGTGGTTGACCTTCCTACAGATTTGGGTATTTCTCCTAGTTTTAATATTGCAGATTTGTTTGAGTATTACCCACCAGAAGAAATAACTATTCATGCAAGTGTAAGCTCGGGGTCGAGCTCTTTTCAAGCAGGGGAGACTGATGTAGAACACACAGCAGACACGTTTATGTCAAAGTGGGACAGTCGCAAGCCCAAATGCGGGCTTGGTCGAAGAAAATAACTAGTTTCGAAGAAACGACTGTAACTTTCAAACTGTACGTCGGAATTTGATGAATTATATATGAAAATCGACTATCTCGACGAGACGGAGCCATCCAAACCCACCCCTTCGGGTTCGGTTTGCGTTTTCCGTTTCACCAAATTCCTTACGGTTTGAGAGATATTTGTATTTTTGTCTGTTTTTTTACTATTTTTAGTAATATTTTAAGAGTCTGTTTTGTTTAGGAAACAAATCAGATTTGATCTCAGATTTGACCGGTTGACTTTCCTAGTAATAAGGAGTCTTTTTAGGAGTTTTAATATTTTAGGAATTCTTTTACTATTTTTTGGTAGAGTTTGAGTCTTTGTAGGAGTCTTGTTTCTTTTTTTCTATTTAAGAAGAGTCTTGTAAGCCCTAGAGGATAACTTTTGATTAATAAAATTTTGTTTTTCCTCAATAGCTCTTCGTGGATTCGAAGCTCTTCGTAGATTCAGAGATTTTCCTTGGTGGATTCCGAGGCTACTATTTCTGCGATGCGTTAGCTAATAACAAATGGGGGAGAGTTTTGGTGTGAAAATTTAAAAATTTTTGATGGTCTTTGCATGAGTGGAGTTTTGGTTAAGTGATTTCATGTTTTTTGATTTTTTGAAAATTTTTTAAAACACTCGATGCACTATTTTGGGGGAGTTTTTAAAATACTTGTGCTTGATTACACTTTTCATGAATGCATGAATGTAGGGTGAGTGTTGCATATCTTTTCCTTTTGCATGAAAGTCTATTTGTGCTTATTGTCGCTATTTATATATCTAAAATATGCATATATTCAGGTATTTCAAATTTTAACTTTGTTATCATCAAAAGAGGAAGATTGTTAGGATGTAGTCCGTACAATAGCTCTCTTTTGAGTAATAACAACCTCTCATTTAATACTAATATTTGTTTTTTGAAATGATATAGTACATCTGAATATGGGTATAAGACGTGTATAAGGCGAAACGACATGAAAATCAGCACAAATGTTGATTTTAGCCATTGAACCATCGATGAGCGTCAGGAACCCATCGATGGGTATGAGGTCATTGATGGTCTATATAAATAATTTGCAAAATTCTAGAGACAAGATTTTAGTTCATCGATGGTTCACAGGAACCCATCAGTGGTGCTCAGATTTTAGTTCATCGATGGTTCACAGGAACCCATCAGTGGTGCTCAAGGACCCATCGATGGTCGTGAGCAACCATCGACAGTTAAGTTGATTGATGGCAAATTTGATGATTTAATCATAGTCCTTTGTTGTTCCTTTTGATCTTCGACTTCAATCATGTTTATGGTCTCTTTCGTGGTAGATTAAAGGCTATATATGATTGAAAGAGATAAATTAGAGGAGAGAATTCTAAGGTTTCGATAAGAGCTTTAGGGTTTTGATTAGAGAAGATATTGGATTGAAAATTTTAACTCTCAGAGCATCAAACCTTTTCTAGTCACTTCCATCATCTTTGGATCATCTCAGCAAGGAGAATTGACCTTGATTTCATCATCTACACCGTTCTTCATTAAGCTTCATTTTGATTCATCGAAGGACGATTTGTTAATCGAAAAGGGCTGTAAGATCTGTATTTATTTGTTTGTTTCAAACTTGCTTTACGGTGTACTCAAGCCGGTGTTAATTGATGGTTGGTACTAACTAGGGCTAGGTGTTTGAGGAGAGTTAGGTCAGACGATCGGTTTTGAGTAGATTTCAGGATGCAATCTTTGTAAGCCTACTGAATTAGGTTGTGATTCAAAACTCTTAGCATAGTGAGGAAGCGTCTTCGTGAGAAGGAAGAGTGGACAATGAACATAGAATTGCTATCCAAACCACTATAAAATCTTACATGTTCTTGGATGGCTATTTTTCGCTTTTATTTAATCTATTCCGTTGTTTATTATGTGTTTCTTCAGCGCAAAACGATAACAATCATATTCACGCTCTCTAGGCTTGCATCTTAGTTCCAACAGACTATTGCTCAAATTAATGGTCATTAATCATGATTTTATTGTATGACTTATGAGAAGATAAAAGATAATGAAAACTCAACTTTTCATAAATAAAATATCCAACATATTCATGTCCTTGTCCATGTGGTAACTTAAATTTCCATCTCTGATATACAGTATAAGCAAAAAATTAATATATATTGCTTTAATCTTCACTACTTCAAGAATCCCCGCAGACACAACTATTACCTTCACTTTTTTTTTCTTATGCTTCTGGAAGAATATCAAATGCTAGAACAAAAATAAGAATACATATGAACATTGACATTTCAAATACACCATGAAGCTTTAAAGCTATTATACTGAAAATATATAAAAAAGAAAAGATTTAGACAAAATCATCAAAGAACACACCTGCCAAAAATCATTGCAGTGAGTGCTGTAGTTCCAGAAGATAGTGTGGATTCAAGAGAGCATGACTCTGCAAACTGAACATCAGTCTGCACAAATGACCTTGTAACAACTTTTTCGAGTTTCAGAGGGAAATCAGCATCCTCCACAATAAGTCTAGGCAAATTGTCACGGACAAAATTTGCAGCACCTTTTCCTCCATGTCCATCAAAAACCTGAGACGTAAATTTAAACCAAGCTACTTTAGATCCAAAAAAAATTTGTTCAATCAATTTCATTTTGGAAAAAATCCATCAGATAATTGAATAGTCATGTGGCGGATAAAAGAACTACTCTTGAAACTTAGTCCTTTCTTACTAAAATTTGCGTTAGATATATAGGAATAACTCGAAGTCACAAAATAAGCCCAAAAGCCAGTTTGAGAAAAATATCCTTTTACTTTCATGTATTCATAACAACTATGAGAGAGATCATATCAATAATGATGCTGGTAGTGGTAGCAAATCATGACAGTAACCAAACTGGGTAATAACAGAGGCCCTCTTATTTACTGTCTAGTTGGGACAAACAAGATGGAAATATAACAATAAATGGGCATCACTGTAACTCACATAACAGAAGTTCCTCAACAAACAGAGTCTAACATATATCAAAATTTGATAGGCATCAACTAATGTAAATTATTCGAAGTCATGTGCGGGGCCAAAGTTGAATAGTAATTATCTTGTGATATTTTAGTAAATTGAGTAGAATGATTTCAAGAGGAAGTGATATATCAATCAGCTCTATGGACGTATCTAGAAAACATGAATAGAGATAGAATAACATTTTTTAGAATAACAAGTGCTCTACCTATGATGATAAGCGTCATCTACAGATAGTCAAATAGAAAGAATTAACACCAAAAAACAGGAACAGGGATTTAGAAAGGGCTTACTCCAAAGAAGGAAACAACTTCCTCACTAGAAGAATGACAACTGAACTTTTCTGCCAAGTCAGAGATACAAACATGAGTATCTTCCATACAATCGCGACTGCCAATATCAGACCACTCCCCTGACCGGATGATTGGAGTGAAACTTGTTAGCTGACTCTCCCCGTTTTCTGTTGAGGTTGTGCTCTCACATATTGCTTCCAACTGCCGGTAGAAAACCATATAAAATATCAAATAAAAAGCAATAAGAAACATGTTTTCCAATATGCTAACCAAGTTAGTACAATAATTGACATTGTTAAACAGTTTGATTATAAGATGAATCGTAGCACAATTGCATAATACAAAATTAGACATGCGTAAGTAATTGAACAAGAGTGACAAGTTTATAATAGAAACAAATACACACAACAATTCAGCTTCTGATCCATTAGGTTAGATTACTTATAGAATCACTTTTCACGTGAGGTCACTTGTGGATTTTGGGACATTATCAAATCTAAACTCAAAATATTGCTGCAAAGTAAATGTTCAACTTTATCATTCGAGTATGCTGGCCCACCAGATTTCATGAACCAAATATCATTAAACTTGTAATATACGCAAAGTAAACCATCAAGTTAGCAGTACTAATACGAGCAACAATGTTTCAACATCTAGAACATCCATAAAGTTCTTGATGTGGCATCTTTTAAATCAGCATATGCATTTTGGGGCTACACATATATGACGTCGGATACCTTTATCTTCTCTAATATTCTGAGAAACAATGTACAAGCCAGGCCTTAGGAGCTTGGCAACATCATCAGATCATATAAATCAAAGCATCTGCGTCTGTCTCCATCTATTTTATTGCTTCCCACCAAGCTTTCCACCTATCATAGACTACCTATGGATCCTATTTTCTTCTCCATGCCCAATCTTGAAGTTTCTATATCACACAGTCAATTCTCTTTCACACGTTCACCAGTAAAAATTCCACAATTGACAATGATAGCTCCAAAAAAAAAAGAGCACAATCATCCTCTCTCTACCTCGAGGGGGAAAAATCACCATCAGACTGTTAATTATGATATTTCTTGAGCTTTTGTCTTTGGGTGCCTATAAAGGGACATCGGTGCGCACTTATTGACTTACTGTTTGCTATAATACTCGACAAATATAATAATTAGCTAATGATTGCAAAGGTCAAATTAAACCATCTTTATTCACATGCTGGAATCATTGAGAGTACATCCATCCAATAATCATTGGAAATGCAACATTGAACTTGTTATTGAGCAGAACATTACGAATATTCAAACCGAACCTATCTCGCATTTACAATTGATCAACAAAAGAAGTATAAACTAATGCCATGTATTATGGATATATGTATGACAAAATAAATTATACCATAATTATAACATGAGATGAACACCGCCATATCATGATATCGAAGGAACTGCAGCTGCAAATAGTGATGCATCACTAGAATAATAACAAAACATATAAAGTAGTAATGTATAAAAGCAAGTGCCTATGATACTGATTTCAGCTAAACTTTCATTGACAGTCCAAGCTAAGGGTTGCTAAAAAAAATAAGCTAGAAGAATAATTAGAGAATACATATCATACCTACTTATTTAATTTTACCAAGAAAATCCTTCGATTATGAGAGTATTCAAGGGCCAAATATACTAACAGCAAAGCAACACAATCACCAAGAGAAAAATAAAATGAAAACCAAGCAATCTAAGAAAAAAAACCACACAAAATGAATAACTCTGAACCTAAAAAGGCATATTGCTATAAAATCCTGCTTACTGAAGAACAAAAGAGCAAATCGTGCCCCATTTACAACACATAATTGAGCCCAGAAACAATCCAAACTAACAAACAGAACACACCCAAATTCTCATCTTCACGATAAATTTCCAAACGCACAAAAGATTAGGAAATAAGCGTCAGAAAATGAGCTATAATTCATACAAAAAATAGCCCAATTTAGGGGAAAAAAGAAAAAATAAAGGAGGAATAAAATTGAACAAGGCAAATAAAAGAGGAGACCCATCTAAAACAACCCAAACAGAACAGAACCCAGATGCCAAACTCCAATCTTTAGACACCCTCCGCCTCCATTCATCTCAAAATCAAGCAAAAACACGAAATTTGCACAAAAACTTAGTAAATTTTACCAACTACTTACATGGGTCTGAGCCAAATCAGGACTTTTCTCCATCTGGGTCTTCCCAAAACTTGATCTTTCCGTCACTCGTCCAGTATTCTCTTCTAGTTCCTCAAGACACATGATTTGTTCTTTGAGGCCAGGACACCAGCAGTCCACAAAAAGACCAGAGAGAGAATAAACTATTTAGTCAAGATTCTGAGAATATTTGTTGATTCCGCTAATGGAGAAAGGAATGGAGCAGGAAAAATGTTGGATTTAACAACTGAAATTGGAAGTAGATTTTATTAAGCTGCAGGGGGAGTAATTAAAGGAGCAGGATTTTATATATATAGGTGAGGGGAGAGAGAGAGATTTTAAGTGGGGTTAATGAACAGAGATTTTTTTGTTTCTGTTTTCAAAGAGAGAGAGAGAGAGAGAGAGAGATTATGAAAAGGCACACGTGTATTGCGAGGGAAATTTACAGATTGACACCTGGCTCTTTTGGGGGGTAATATTGTAAGATTAGATTATGAATGGGGAGTTCATAGATTGCAAGTTTGCAACAAATTTCCAGATTTGTTGACCTGCAGTGAGCACAATTTAAGAAACCTCAACTGAATTAGCTCAATATTTACCTCATTTATTTACTTGGAACTTTGTCCTGGGTTGGAATTATGATTTACTTGTATCTTTGTTTTAGTTTCTACCCATTTTAGATCAATTTAATCTTTGTTTTACAAGTCTTGATTATCATGAGGTGATCGGCTTGTATTGATAAACTTGAATTATTGACTTTTTTATTTTTATTAATTTGTTAGGATGTCAATTATGTCATTTAAGTAGTCACGCTTGAAATTGGTAAACTTTGAAAATTATATCCATTCAGTTTGTGTGAACGTCAACGAGAAATCCTTAATGGTTCATATTTTAAAATTTTCTATTAACTTTAATAAATACTCTTGAAATCATCTATATATTAATTTTATTGAAAATCAGTTATAACCCAATGTTGGTAGAAATCTAACAATGAATTTGTTATACAATTATAAGGGATTTTACCAATACAATCTACAATAACATAGGATTCCTAAAATACGGTTATCCTTAAGAAAAAATACAATGATTTTCTTAAATTCAATAACCAAGAAGTGTCACAACACAAGTATGTTCGGGGCAATGTAAGTTTTGGGACGTTAGAGTATGATATATTGTTTTGCTTTGAACCACTATTAAAAATGACTAGTTAATGTTACAACTTGGCTGTCATAATTTGCTATTTAAACTCATTTGTATCACCATATTAATCCGATGTGGAGCTATTTTTTTTAGAATCACAATCACCACACCTTAAATAGGCTACATTCTCATGACGACATGCTAATTCAATTATTCCAATAACACCATAACACGATATTGATGCTAGACATGCCTCCTACAAGTTCTAGAGGCAATTTCCATTGGGCTCACACGATGTAATCTAATCCTGTATAGACTATAGTTTTACACTTCTAACTCTCTAGCTGCTCTGATTTGTTGCGCCCTAGGTCAGGAAGATCCTTGACACGATGACAGAAGCTCTGGAACTCACTAAGTGCAACACGTACAGCTCAATTTACCGCAAAAATTGTTAGCCAAAATATTTATTAAGAAATATATATAACCACACAATTTGAAGAGGCGGAACCTACTAGACAAGTTGCATGTATTCCCAACCGCAATTTCTCTATAAAGTACATGCTCAATAATAGCCTCA